GGGCGATCACATCCATCGTGAAGTTCCCGTGCATGTCCTTCAGGTTAATGTCCGCCCCATTGGCCGCCGACACGTCCAACACATCGAGAAACTCGTTCAAACACTCTCTGATCATTGGATACATTTTACGCATCTTTCCCGACGTGAATGTCGGACTCATTATAGATCGGTAGCGCTTCCAGTCTTCGCCTCTCGAGTGGAACAGATTCTTGTCCAACACGTGATGAGCGGCCGGTCGTGTCCGGCGGTCTGTGAACAGGTGAAAGTCTTTGACCAAAATTGTTTTAATCAGTTCCGGTTTGGCCACCGTTAAGATGGGCTCAGTTTTGTTGAACACTCTGTTTAATGGATAAATATTTGGCAAAATTTAAAATACAATTATTATTAGTGTTTTTTATTGCTTACCCATAAAGTGGTCCAAATTTCTTATACCACTCCAACTTTACGGCAGGCATTGATTTGACAAATGTGTACAAAGAACCAAGTTTATTTTCTATGGATAAATGGCCAAAAATTCGTAACGTCTTATATGAATAGTAAAATACATTACAATTTGGGAAAAACCCAAACGATAGCTATTGTGAGCATTGAATGCATTTATAATTACAATAGATTTCAAATATTGTGTATATTTTTGGGCCATTTTTTTCAATCAAATGATTGTGTTTTGAATTCAAATCCATTTTCATTGTTGTTAACAATCGGTGAAACTCTTTGACCAACAAATCAGTGATAACTCTGACCAACAAATCGACAATACTTTTGGACACACTATCGGTGCGATTGTTTCGGCGCTAATCGTTGACCCATTGGCCACACTATCGGTGCGTTTGTTTCGGCGCTAATCGTCGACCCATTGGCCCTAACCTTCACTATCTAAATGCGTAGGACAGACCCTCGCATCTGACGGAATGTAAATTCGTTGTGTCGTTAGAATTTGAGATCGAATTGATGGTGACATTTTCACGCGCTTTGAAGAGTCATGTCCAAAAATACATCGTGATTGTGTATTTGCCATCAGGGGAATTGTCAAGTCAATTACCCCTTTTGTCTGTTGGGAGCAAATGGCTGCACAATTTCCACTCATCTTCCCTGCAGTTTTGTAGCACTGCCTCTGGCAATGCGAACAAATGTGCATTTGTTCAAGAGGAACGTAAACATTATCTGGACTGT